CACAATGAAATATAGTTATATGTGTATTTAATGCTTTATCAAGTTGTGCAAAAATTAGAAGAGTTAATTAATTTCAATTTCTCTTGATTATTTTACATTTTCTGTGGAAAATGTAATCTGTGTTAAAAATTTACTTTCTTAATTTATTTTTATGTTTTTCACAGGTATGTTTCTAGCTGAGGTGATAGAAAAGTACTTTGTGTCACCCACTTTGTTCCGAGTTGTACGACTTGCCAGGATCGGTCGAATCCTGCGCCTCATTAAAGGCGCTAAGGGAATCCGCACTCTGCTTTTTGCTTTGATGATGTCTCTCCCTGCTTTGTTCAACATTGGGCTGCTGCTCTTCCTGGTCATGTTCATCTATGCCATATTTGGCATGTCCAACTTTGCCTACGTCAAGAAGGAAGATGGGATTGATGACATGTTCAACTTTGAAACGTTTGGCAACAGCATGATCTGCCTGTTCCAGATCACCACGTCTGCTGGTTGGAATAATTTGCTCAACCCAATTCTAAACAGTGGAGATCCAGACTGTGACCCCCATAAAGATCATCCAGGGAGCTCTGTGAAAGGTGACTGTGGCAACCCTTCTGTTGGGATTTTCTTCTTTGTCAGCTACATTATCATATCCTTTCTGGTAGTGGTGAACATGTACATTGCTGTGATTTTGGAGAACTTCAGTGTTGCTACTGAAGAAAGTGCTGAACCCTTGGGTGAGGATGACTTTGAGATGTTCTATGAGGTTTGGGAAAAATATGATCCTGGTGCAACACAATTCATAGAATATAGCAAACTGTCTGATTTTGCAGCTTCTCTGGATCCTCCTCTTAATATACCAAAACCAAACACAATTCATCTCATTGCAATGGATCTACCTGTGGTGAGCGGTGACAGAATTCACTGCCTTGACATCTTGTTTGCTTTCACAAAGCGTGTTTTGGGGGAAAGTGGGGAGATGGACACCCTCAGAATACAGATGGAAGATCGGTTTATGGCATCCAATCCTTCTAAAGTCTCCTATGAACCAATTACAACCACACTGAAACGAAAGCAGGAAGAAGTTTCTGCCACTATCATTCAACGTGCTTACAGACGTCATCTTCTGAGACAGTCAGTAAAGAAGCTTTCATTTATGTATCAGAAGGATGGGGGTGATCAGCTTATCAAAAAGGATGTGATTGTTGGTAAGCTGAGTGAAAATTCGTCTCCAGAGAAAATGAATATGTCTGCATCCACCACAGCTCCGCCTTCTTATGACAGTGTAACAAAACCAGAAAAAGAAAAATATGAAGATGACAAATCAGAAAAGGAAGAAAAAGGAAAAGATAGAAGAGGAAACAAAAAATAAAAGACACTTTTATCCATGATGAATGTTTGCAAGCTTGAATATATGTTTTTGTCAGTAGCACTCTTACTGGAGGATTATGCCAAAATTATAAATTTTTACATATTTACCCACTACTGCAGACAGTGCCTGTCCAAGAAAATGATCCATCACTAGTAAACCCTCGGTGGCAACAGGGAAACAAACTTGCAGAACAATAGTTTTGATTATCAGCTGTTACTAATTGAGAGGAGACACAAAATTTCTACTTGGAATATAGGAACCCTTCAGGGGTCCTAATAAGGCTGTATTTTTGTGGAGTAAGTGTATCCACTGTGTGCATTTCATCTCTTTTCTGTGTTCCACGTGTGTCAGTTCTTGTTCATGATTTCATTTGCTTCAATAACATACTGCTTTATTAGTTCTGCTGTGCTGAGAAAAAAATCTAAATACTCTTTATTTCGATAAACACTAAATAATACTCTTGTGTGCCGAGAAACACAAATGTCAGGAATATGTAATTATGGCATCATAATATGAACATAGTTCTCTTCAAGCCACTTCTAAATGCAAAAAGCCAGAATTCTAGATTACTAAACCTCAGGGTGTAGATCAAAGAAGCACCAAACTATAAAAAAACCAAGAGTCCAGATAAAGAATTTGTCAGTAAATCAAACAAGGGAATAATTCTCACAGAAAAGAGGTTGGTAACTTAGCCTTTAAGTTTAATGTATTTATTTTTATTACCTTTTAGTAGTTTTTCATTTTTTGTACTGTCCATTTCAGATACAAATAAATGATGCTACCTAGAGCTCCTGCTTGGAAATTGTGAAACTACTAAAAAAATTACTTTCAGTGTACAAGATAGCTGATAATTCCTGAAACATTCAAACAGTTCTTTTCACAGAAGAGCTACAAATGACAAATTCTGCCCATAGGAAATTATATCTATTTTCTAAATTGTATGTTTGACCTTGTAGTATCGTGAGTAGCTTCCATACTTTATTCCAAAGTCTGTTGCTACACTTCTCATTTCTCATGAGTGTATCCCACTTAGGAAAATAAAGCTATGAGTGTAAGTTGATAGCAGAGTACCTTTGGGGACAAATACTACCTTAATATGTACCTCAGATTTCATTTTCTCTACTTTGCAGGGATGGATCATAGCAACACAAAATATGTGCATGAAAGAGGTGGTTTTGACGCCCTCTTGGCAATTTAGACAGGTTTCCACTGTAATGTAACCTTCCATAGAGAGCTGAGATGACCAAAAAGATGTAGTGAAATCAGCTTTGTCCTGCACTGGGATTTAGATGATTTTTTTTTGCATTCAGGCTGGCAATATACATGTAAGTAAAATACCCTCTGTTATTTAATCAGTTGTTTTACACAGTGGTACCTTTTTGAACAAGGAGACAATGACCTAATTACCATATATGTGTCAACTATGTACCCTAGTAAGTTAGCTTACAACATTTCAGTAGATATTATGATATATTCTGTGATACTTTAAATAATTGGAAGCTCTAACTGATGCATGCTTGCTGCTATTATCCTACAGCTGTTAAAGTTTAACATGGGAAGAAATGTGAATGCTAAAAAGAAAAACTGTTTGACAAGACCGTCATTCCTCATACCAGTAAGCAATAGTTTGCTGCTATTAAAGATTTTATTTTGTGTGAGTGTTGTAATCAGCAAATATGCAGTAAGGTAATGGACTATACAGGACAAATAGATGGCTTAAAATATGGGGCTATAAGAAAATTATAATGTATATCTATTATTTTTATTTTAAGAATAGTTTATTTTATAACATTTTTTACTCATTATAAGAAATTATACATATTTTCCTGTTGTTTTAATATTTATTGCTGTCTGTCTTTGGCACTTTACTGTTCAGAAACATAATATACAATGTGTAATGGAAAATTTCTGCTAATTGCTTTAAATAGCTTTTAATAAGAAATAATTTTAAAACAAATGGACAGTACAAATTTTTTTTTTCCTGATCTGTTGGTAGGTCTTTTTATGTGAAACAAGATAGAAGGCCTTTTTTTATGTTATCCTGTCTATTGATTTTCAGGGATCCTAGTCATAGGAACATTGCTTTTTCCCCAGAGTTAATATCACACTGTCTGCTTTGCTTATTGGTGCACACTGCAGTAGAAACACTTTAAATATAATTTGTTATTCAAAAATCTTCCTTCATGAGGATGAATAGCGAACTTGTGCAATGGACAGTGAAACACTTTGCATTTCTTATAAAAGAACTAGAATATTGATGGGCTCCTGCTTTTATGGAAATTATTGGCTCGTAGTATACTGATGAACTGCATGCAGGAAGTTGTTTTACCAAAAATAATTACATTGCTAACAACCCAAAAGAATAAAGATAACCTTTTTATGTAATTATTTTAGTCTTTGTCTTTTATTGTATGAATTTTATAAATATTAACAAGTAATGGTTGGTAAAATTAAGGGGGAGCTGCTTCAGCAGTGAGGTGATCTAGACTTCTAGATCACGTGTTGCTTCATGACTTAGCTCAGTCTCAACTTGTCACTATCAAGATGAAATGAAATGCTGATGTTGTCCTGACCAGAGGAGGTTTTCTAGAATTCAGAAAAAATAATGTATTTTCAACTATGTGTCTTTTTGCCAAATTTTTGACTTGTCCAGTAAGAGCTCTAGTGATATTCTCTGTTGGGCAAGTCCAGTGTGGGATGGCTCCACAGCTGCTCCTGCAGACACTGGTCACTCTGGGATAGGGCAGCCTGGATCTGTCACCAAAATAACCCCATGGGAGCATAACAGAGTTGCTTTAATTCCTTTCTCTCTGAAGAAATCCATCCTTGCCCAGGGGAGGGAACAGGAGCTGTTGGAGGTTTTAGGGGCCGTGTCACAGCCGTCGTCAGGCAGCCGATGCCTTTGCAAGGCTTTCAGGCTGGTCCCTGGTTGGAGGTTGCTGCACACAGGTGGCAGGATGAGGGACTTGGTGTGTGTGCATTGGACCTGGGCATGGGGTGATTAATGCTTTTTTTTTTTCTTTGTGTGTGTGTGTGTTCTCATTTCTTTTGTGAAGAGAAGCTGCTGTATGCTTGGGCCAATATAACTAATAGGAAAAAACACTGAACTATGCTATGCTTTGAAGGATAATATGCATGTTTTTAGTAACTATACCTGATTTGAATTAATATGGATGTTTTTTTCAATCCAGAATACCTAATATTTTAATATGGCAGTTGCTAATAATTTTGTATTAATGTAATAATGTAAATACTTTAAAATAATATTATACTTTATACTCTTAAATTGCTGTTTAAAGTTAAGTCATTGCTGGATGGGTGTGTAGGTAAATTGAAAAATCTATGTGGAATAAGCATGAAATATTTATGTAATAATTTTTCTACAAATTTGGTAGTGCACAGGAATATATAAGGTCATTTATAAAATAATTTTACCCTATACAATTTCTATTATTTTTAAAGTTATGACTATTGAAACAATAATACAGCTGGAGTCACTCCATTTTTAGTATCTTAAATGCAATATCTCAGACCTTTACCAAAAAAGGTATTTTTGGATTCCAAGTGTATATATTTGAATAAATTTGGATACTTCTGTATTTCTTTGAAATCATTCCAGTATACCTTGAAGGTAAAAGCCTTATGGAAGACACAGTTGACTTGCAGACTTCCTCCTTAACCCGCAGGTATGAAATAAATCTGTGCTTTAGTTTTGGTACCAGACAGTGGTTTCAGGTAATGGATCAGTCATAAATCATTATGCAAAACATTAAACAAAATTCCTAGAGCAATAGGCCACTCCACTCTCTTATTGTCCCAGCTCACAGAGAAGGAAAAATTAGTAAGAAAACCTCCTTTAAAACTGCCTAAGAAATAAGCTGTCTCTTACTAATCCAGTAATATTGGTGTATTTTACTTTTTGAAGGTGTCATCAACCTCCAACTCCCCTCCCCACCCTCCAAAAAAGCCTCAACTATTCCTCAAACCTGTATGGGAACATAAAAGTGAAACAGTTTTGTAATTTTTCAAATCCTGATCTGCCTCAATCTTGTAACAAAAATGTTTCACTTCTAAGGACAAGACGTCACTTCAAAAGACAAGTCCCGCATCCATCATACCGAATCACCTGTAAAAACGAAAAAGGGAGAAGATAGCAGGGGGAATAGGTAGGATATTGCTTCTCGCTTGTTTTTATAGACACCTAAAATAGGCTCGGGGGTAGTTGGTATTTTCAGGCAGGAATTTGCGTGAATTCCAGGGGCGGTGGGAGCATCTCCCGGCGGGTGGGGCGGATCGGAGCCGGGCGCGCCCGCCCGGAGCCACGGGCGGCACCGGCGAGCTCCGGCCGCGGGCACGGGCACCGCCAGAGCCCGGCTGGCACTGAGGGACCGGGCTTGTGCTCGGTGCAGCCTGATAATCCCTCTGGTGCTGCGGAGATGGTCACTGTCAGCACTTCTGTGACTGAAACAGCCGCTCCTTGGGTTTCAGTTCTGTACCCTGTAGGACATGTGGACCTATGTCCAGACCTGATACCACGTCGGTACCAACTGCCGTGCTCATCTGAGCTTACAGCTACAGCTGAAGGATTTGATGCAGTGAGGAATCCCTCTAATAGCTTTAGGTTTACTTTTCTTAATAGGCATTATTCATCTAATCCTGTGGTGCACCCCTGAAACAGCCCCAGCCTTCTAAAGAATCATATATGAAAGTATCTGTGTCATTTGCACTTCATTATACATATTACATATATATATATAATATGTATAATGAAGTATTATTAAAAATGCAGGGATTTTTTTGGAGATAGAAAATCCTTACGATATTTATTCTATAGTATAGATTCAGAAAGGCTTATCTAGCTCACTAAGGCATTAGGAGAAATAATCTGAAATCTCTGCAGTGTAGGAATATTTAATGGCTCACAAACCTCTGCATTAGCAACATCTTTTTCAGTGGGGGATGGTACCATTTCTTTCATCCTTAGAGGGCAACTAGGTTTTGTCTGTGTGATACAGCATGCAGGTTCTGTCACTCAGCATATTTAATTTTCCTCCCTGATCAGTGGGAGCTGTTGCACGGTGGAAAGAAACATATTCTAGTGCTTGCCTTAAAAAAAAAAGACTGCAGTGTAGCCCAAGCAAAGTAAACTGCGGCACATTCTCATCCCTCTGGAGAGGAAAAATTGCATGCTGAAGCACACATGATATCTGCTGCAAGAAAAGCTTTTGATGAAAATAAGGAGTGGCGTTTCATAAACAATTTATAACAATCAAACCCTGCAGTTCCAGACATGCTCTGCACTTCCATTTTCTATTATCTTAAAAGCATGTTACTTTCTCTTTAACAGCAATCTTGATAATCATCTATGTGGAATGTGACGGCTAATTAACAAGCAGCACAAAATATTTTTCAAACAATGTATATCTGAAATGGAGTGTAATAAACTGTTTTGATTTCCAAAGTAGTAAGTATCTGTAACAGTCATGCTTAAAAATGGTCAGAGAATTACATGCTGTATTGCTATTTGCAATATTGTTTTATAAAAAGTCATGCTTGCAGATACCATAGCAACCCATCATGTGATACTTTTTGATTGCCAAGCTGTATAGTAGCTTTATGTTAATATTCTGCAGCCATACTTGCATTAATATCTTTATATAGTGAATATTAATATCTTTATATGCCTTTATGTAGTGTTTAGTGAAAATTGTAGCTATATCAACAACATAATGCAAACTGAACTATGCCAGCAGTGGTCTCAGGCAGGCCAAAAATATAAAATAATTTCTCCAATAATTGACATTGTGAATACCCTTTCCCTTGTCTTAACTTCTTCATGGCCCTGATGGTTGCCAAATGTGGTCTTACAGTGATTGCTGCAGCATTGCTGCAAATACTAGTAAATTAATTTATACAGATGGAAAGCAGATGCTCATGCTCTAACTGTATAACATTGGAAATTGGATGTGATTTCTGTGATTCTGAATAGGAGGGCAGAAAAATGCAGGCTCCTGATGGCCTCTGTCTGGAACTGCATGTACATCCAAAAAAAAAAAAAATAATTCCAGAATGATGCTAAAGAGCCCTGTGGATTCACCAGCTTCACCACTCTTTCTCATTTATTGGAAATCAGTTAATTGAAATTTCATTTACCTATGTTGCATCAATCTTTTAGAATTCTGTTATTTTTATATAAAGACTGGAAGAACAAGGAAAGGAGAATGTTTGCTTTGAAAAGATAGTAACCAATGACATACGAAGACAAAATAATACAGTGTTGACATGATTTTTTTTACTTGTATTTCAGGATTAAAACAGTTTTTCACAGTTAAACTCTACTACATATGAGGAGAGCATCCAACAGGAAATTTCAAAAGCTACATAGAGGAAGTGACAGGGAAAGAAATCACTGTGCTGATATTACTTGCTGACAGGTTATTAATATAAAGTCTTTTGCAGAAGTTAATTGGAAATTGATGAACTCTGAAAATAAAAGATTGTGCCACAGAACATGGAGTAAGAAAAATCTGCAGCAGAATGCAATTAGAAATTACTGTCTTACACATGAAACTGCTTTACTTTTGTGATTAGAGAGAATACTTCATACTAAAAGCTAGGATCAAAAAATAATTTATGTATCTGCTAATACCCAAAACACATCTATGTATATGTACCCTATTTATTCACATCTATTGCTATATAAATGTCTTTAATAATTTTTCAGTTTAAAAATTCTCAAAATTTTCTTAAGAAAAAAAGAGAAAAGGCACAATAGGAAGGCATGTGGATTGAGTTTTTCTGTATGACTTGGTACCTATTCACATCCCAGCTTCCCTTTCACTGTTCCACTATCAGTCCCTTTCCATGAGATGAAGGCTTCACATGGCAATTTAGACTGATGTGGTGGAATGTACTCTTTTTAAAAATCCCTGATGAAGTAAAATAAAATGCCTTTTCTCCTCTGAAGAACAGAAAAAGGTTGAGTTTCCAGGTCTCCCTGGCATTGTCAGTAATATGCTGTCCTAAAACCACTTGTGCAATTCTTGGCTTTTTAAAAGTTCTGTATTAAGTCATAGGAACTGCATTTGAAAGGTTTCCTCAGTATTTCTTCATACAGAGGACACAGAATAAAAAATTAGTTCTTCAGAGCTGCATTTAGTCTGCAATCTTTTTGCCTCTGGTTTTACAGGAGTAAATTTGTGGAAGTCTAAAGGAAGAGAATGTAAGTTGGTAGGTAAGAGCCTATACCTGTCCCCCTACCTGTAGCTTCTTTCTGACTTTAAAGCAGCTTTAGTAGAGTGTAATTGTGTCTCCTTTCCTTTTCCTTCCTCCTCTGTTCTCAGTCTGGAAGACAGAAGAGTTGCCTTTCAAGCAGGAAGACCACAAATCAATTTATTGTTGCAGATGATTCAAATGGTGGAGCTGAAGAGTAACAGGATCAGCTGCAGCAGTTTTTTCATGTGTGACAGCGCCAGCAAATGATGGAAGGTAACCTCATTAGCAAATAGACTTCAGCAGCAATTAGAATGAATGTTAAAGAGTGAAGAGAGAAGATAATTGGTGTTTATGAACAAAAATTGGAGACAAGGTCTTTCAGGTTTTATAGGTAATTTTATTCCACATAAAATTACAACTTTATGTATGAATTCTTTAAAAAATAGATGCACAGTACTCAGACCTCCCTTGTGGAGATAAAGGATATTTAGAGGTGATTTTAAATAATGTTAAAACATGGCAAAAATACCACCTTAAAATGTCCCATTTAACTCTAAGCAGAGGCAGATAAATTTGATATTCAGAGACTGATAAACAACTTCCTCCTTTTATTTATATTTTTCATACTTGGTTCTATCTCTTTAAGAAATGTCCTATCTGATGAAAGTAAGAAGTACTTTTGTAAAGTATCTGGTTTGTTCATAACTTTGTGAGAATTTTTTGAGATGTGACTGCATTTTCCTAACAGTTTCAAGTCTCTAGTTAATGTTAGGACAATTTCAGCTATGAACTGCCCTAGCTCTAAAAATTTTCTCATGATGCTTTAGGGCTTTTCTGATAGCTTGCTAACCTGTAACTGATCTGGCAGAATGTATTCTAAACTTCTACTAAATTTCTAGTCTTTCTGAGCACAGCTGGAATGCTGGTCTGAAAAACTTCCTTGAATATTACTGGCTGCTGGCCATTCTGACAGTGAAAATAAAAAAAAATGTTAGTGCCAAAAAGCCACCAGAGGCATTACCAAGCTAATCGAAGGTTTGTCTGATTCCCAGGGTGAGAGACTGACCAACCAATTACTTTCTGATTCTTTCCAGCTTGTTGATTGCACATGCACTGGATAAGTCACGGTAGTTACCAAGCAGGAAGAAAGTTCTTTCAGCACGCCACAAACAACCACTCAGCACCTTAATGCTTCAATAAGTCTGTAAAAGCACAGCAGCCAATGAGTCCCTTCTCCACCCTGCACACTGTGGGGAGAGCTGTGAGTGCATATCCAGCAATTTCTCTGTAGATGAGGCAGGGTTTCTCCATCCCATTTTTCTGCTCTGTTTACCAGGCTGTGAGGTGAGGGAAATAAGTAAAGGTATGGAAGGGAGGAGGAGAAGCAGCTCAGTTCAGAAAGCTGACAAGGAGCTGGAACAGTGGGGATAAAGATGAAGGAAGGGAACAAAATGAAGCAGGGCAGTAACTTCTGTTCCAGACTGTCACAGACTGAACTAGCTTAACTGGTGTAATTTAGTATTAAAAAAACCAAAAGTTGGAAAGTCATAAGTCCACTGAAAATACAAACTTGATACCAGTGAGGATTCTTTAGTGTAAGAGGTATTGAGCAATTGCACAGCTTTCTTTGTATTTATAAAACATGCATGATTTAAGAGTTTCTGCCTGCTTCTGCTCAGTTTATGTATTAAGGGATTACTGAAGATTTGTCTGAAGCCATCTAGATCAATTGTTGTCAGTTGTACTGACATGCTATGAGGAATTGTTACAATCACAGATAGTTGGTGTATTTCAGTTAGCATTCCATATCATTATCGTTTCCTAATCTTAGTTGTAGCAGAGGAGTTGGTTCAGCTCATTGGTTTTATCAATGCTGTCCTGATACTTTTAGAAACTGCAATTGTTTGGGACTTTGGAAGAAGTTTTAAAAACATGGGCACTTCTATGTTCCAGTACAACTGAAGAATACTCCAAGGGGCTCAGAAATTTGCTAGGATGTGATGACAATTTAGCAGATCCTTCACAACTCAGCTGTAAAGGCATTGGAGGAAAGCAATGTCAAAGTGTTTATGAAAATAATTTGTTTCACTGCTGTTAAGTACTTTCAGTGTTCAGGGTTTATCTAAGAGATACATTAACACAGCTTCTGGGTAGTTAATGGGCACAGGGAAGTTAGGGTCAAATCTGACCAAAAAGTGAATTTTCTTCATCTTGAGTGATTTAGAAAAAGATGTCATTCTTTACATATTATTAATGCAAAATAATTTTCTTATTTTATTGACTTACATCAAATTATTTTCCAGCATTTTAGTTTCCTTCCCAAAAATACAATGCATCAGTCTTGACTCCTGATTGAGTGTGAATATAGTAAAAGTAATACTGACAGAAATGATGTTTATAAATCTAGTTATCATAAAGTAAAAATTTTGTTTATGTAGGTATGCTTTATATCTCTGTGACTTTCTCATTCCCTCTTTAGAATTCTAGACATCTCTGGTGAGTAAGCTCTGGTGCTGGTGCCTCGCTGTGATTTTTGTTTCAGTAGCACTTCTGACAGCTGACATCTCTGAATTTGCTTATCCGTACTAATTGTCAAGTAGAAGGTCTAAATTAGGCCATAGTTTCACAAACATATTTAACTGCCATAAGGTGGCAATGTATGTGAAAGAAGAAGTCCTTTCCCCCCAGTTAGAAGAACCATTTATACTTTCCTACAGCAGACTGGATTGGGGAACTAAAGACTCAGTGAGAACAGAAGTTTATCCTTAACCTAGATAATTTTTCCATTCAGTTCACACTACTTCAAGTAGTATGGTGTGTTATATTTTTCTGATTCATTTGTCTCTACCATAGTTTCTAAGTTATGAAATAATGTTGATTAAAAAAGCGCCCCTACAACAAATAAACAAAAGAAATTAAAAAAAAAACAACCCCAAATGCCAGGAAAATAGCACCTCAAAAATCCACAAGTAAAAACACAAGAAAATGTGTATGGAAACTCAGAAACTCAACACCATTGTATTAGAACTTTCATTCTTTATGACCAATAGAAAACTTGTCTGTGTACACCTAATATTTCAAGTTTCAGTATATAATTTTTTGTTCTGATAAGGTGATTTTTTGGGAAATATTTTTGTCTGTTACTGTATTGCTCTAAGCTTTCTCAGTAGTTTGGATGTGTCACCTCATAGCAAGTCTTATGTTCTTCCATAAATTTAATCATAATAATTTAAACATACTCAGGAGCAGCCTTTAAATTACATAGCTTTATTTTCCATGCCTCTGCCGCTGGTAGTTTTATAGCCTCAAAAGCGTGATGCAAAATTCCTTAATTTTGTCTTTCAGTCATTGAATTTGCAGCTCAGGCATTACTTTCTTCAAAGTTTTGCCCAACAGAAAACTGCTTTCATGTTCTTTCAATGTTTTATTCACAATGATCTATTTTCTTGTCATCTATTTTCTACTCCAAAGTAGGCTATTCCTACTGTAGCTGTGTAGCTACTGATTTACCAGCCAGTCATTTCATCTGCCTGTAAGAGAATTAAAAGTTGTGTAGATGATCAACTTCACTTCTGATTGATGACTTTTAAACCTGAATCCTTTGTAGCATTTCCTGGGGGATACCTCTCCCTAGCCAATGTTGCCACAAATAATTAGACCTAAGTATGGCTTCAATGCAGTCCATAATTTATACATAGTTCCACCCGTTGAGATGTGCTCATTCTGGTTATTCCAGCTTCCAAAAACACTGTCTTCCACCAGTGAAAGTTAAGGGGTGTTGGAGATAGACTAAGTCAGCACAGGCTTCTTCCATTTCAGCACGGAAGAGGCTGTGCTGCAGTTCTGTGTGGAGGAATTCCATCTGTTACTCTGTTGTAGTATATTCAAATATGTTTTTGTGTGGCATGAAAATATGCCTTGGCAGAGGCACAGTGAGATGGCGTCAGGGTGGGTGTGCTGAGGCAGAGGCTGTGCCCGGGTGAGGCAGGAGGAGGAGCCAGTGTTGTGGTTTGGCAGCTGCCGTAGATGAGCGATGCGATAACTTCAGTGTGTGGGAATTGTATAAAATGTGGGGTTAGGAGTGAAATGACATCCACTCAGTGAATTTACTTCCACTTTAAACCTGACTTTCACCTTTTCGTTCTGCATCCCTGTATTATTTATTCTGTGGAGATCTGTGAATTTTTACACTCATAAAAAAATTTTAAAATTGTTTGATTTGGTTGCTTTCTGTATTTTGAGTGCGCATAATAAATGACTAGTGAAGAATGCATAGAATCTGGGGATTAATATCATTTCCTCTTGAGGATTTGCATAACTTGAAAGTGTTTCATGCATAACTGCCTTTCCCATAGCCATGTTTTCCAAGGATCAGAAGAGATTTTTTTAAGAAGTCTTTATTCAGTTAAAGATAAATCTTTGAATGGGTACATTCTCTACCCTACTACTCCCATTTTTTCTGTTATTTGCTGAATGAGAAAACCAGTGGTTTGATTTTGGTGGCTTTAATAGAGATAAGCCTGTTTTGCTGCTGCTTTATTAATTACAGAGCAACTGATGTGAAGGTGAACCTGTTGTTCTCTGGAAGATGTAGACGTAAGGAAAAAATTTTAGGTTTGGTTTTTTTTTTTACTTCAGCATAGAACTGAAGAAGTTCCTTTTGTCTCCTGCCTTTGCCATCCAAAGAATTGCTGGTAAGTACAACATTGAATGAAGCATTCCACTTTGTTCAGGTTTTCTTTTAAATGGCTTTCATAGTTATAATTTTATTTCAGAGGTAATTTAAAGGGGAAGTTCAAAGAAGATGATTAGATATTACCTAAAAATTCTACGTACTGTCATTTACACTATGCCTAGATTCCTCATAATTTCAGAAAATGCAAGAAATGTAAATGAACTAAAAATTATAGGGCTAAAATGCAAACAAGTTACTTAGAGTTCTGGTAAATAGCATTTCTTCTAATACTATTTTTATTATTTCTTGGTGCATCTTAAGAACCTTTTATTTCCTTAATTAGTGTTAATTCCAATTAAAAATGGAGGATACTACTTCATTCTGCTGATTGAAAATGAGATACACCCCCCTGTTGTAGCTTTAGAGCATGGAAGGTTCTAGGGCTCTAGAAATCTCTCTAAGACTTCAGTGACTGTGAGCAGTTATCATCTGATGGTTGTTCAGCAGCCTATGTGAAATGAATTAGTAAATTTTTGGAGCAGCATAAACAAGCCTGCAATGCTGTGCTGCCTATTCTCTACATAAATAGACAGGCCAGTTCTCCAGAGATGGCAGTCTGGCACCTCTCACAAGTTTGGAGTTTACTTACAATTCATTATTAATTGTTAAGTGCTTACAGCACACTTGATATTGTAAAAAGTACAAAGATACAGTCCCTGCCTGGAGGAGCTTACTTTAGAAGATAAGCAGGACCAACTTGTTCTTTTCCTACACAATAAATGCAGTTTTCATTGTGTTTTGCTCAAATTCTCTTATACTCTGAGAATATGGGCTTCAAGGCAGGTTACACAACATTTCTTTACTGACTTTCCTATTACCCAGTTCAGAGTGAAAGGACTGTCAAAGCATGCCTGGCTGTATGCAGTGTGACAGGTTTCGCTGTTCAGAACAATTGGTCCCAACTGCTCTTATTTCTTGTTTAAGGTACCAAACCACTTTTGAAAGCTATCAAATTTCACGTTAATCTCCTCGGGAGGAGAAAGAATGAGTTTCTGGATGGAAAGACAAGCCAGAGCTGATGCATAGTGAATAGCAGGAGAGGCATAATATTACTTGGAAGGATCTCTGACAAGTCTGTGCCCCTTTTTCCATAAGGCAGAAAGGTTTATGATTTTACTTGGGGGGTGGGGAGAATTGGGAATTAATAAGTTAGGCAAATGTGGCAATCTCTTGAAGAAAAAAAAATATACTACCCTGCATTTTATAAGTAGAATGTGTATGATTTTATTTGTATGATTTTTTCTCAGGTGAGAATTAGTACATGGTGCATTTGGGTTTTTATATCCATGGCTATACTTGTTCCAATCCCTTTCATTGCAGAATCTCAAGTACATTCACCATTGTTTGGAAAGATTCATAAATAGTAACAAGTGTTAAATGTTAAGATTTGGGTGAATGAGGGAGAATTTGTAACTAAAAATAAATGAAAAAATGGAAGAAAAAAATAGGCAATAGGAGGTGAATGACCTGAAGCATGTAGAGAAAGAAAAAGATATAAAAATATTCTGAAAAAAATACAGATAGAAAGGAGGGTGTGATCAAATCATGACAAAGCACCTCTGCAACAGTTTTTTGGGTAGTGTGTGTTCTGCTTCTACTAGGTTGCTTTGTGAATGAGTCAGTTGCTTTAGCAGGACAGCAGATTATAATGAGAAAAAAGAAAATATGATTGGAAGCCATCACTCTGGGGGCTCCTGTCTGGAGGGCAGTTGAGGAACCAGGTCACAACAAGTGAGCTGGCAGATTCCTGCCTTGGCTGCCACAGATCCCACTGAGCCTGACCTGTGAGCCCGGAGCTCGTCTGGACTATGGAAGTGCTGGCTGCAAGAAAGGGAACTGCCTTCTGAGAGGGCTGGTAGGTGTGAAGAGCTGCTCAGCTTCTTCCTGATCAGTGTGTAGGAACTTAGAGATCTTGAAATAATATTTTTAGCAAAACAGGTACTCCATGTATGCGGTTCTAAATATTTCCCCTTCTGCTAAATCAAAACTGTCTAGTCATGATCCTCCCATTAAATTCACAAATGGAAGAAATACAGATGCAAGGTTCAGAAGAAATTGGGTAAGCTCAGCTCAGAAGAATTAACACACTGCCACTCAGCTCACTGAAATGTAAGGTTTCACTTCAGGACACCCGATACTCCTCGTTGACATTACAGCCCTTTTTGCTGCTTTCAGACCCTTTTACCAACATATTCAAGTCTATGTATCAATAATCTGTTATAAAGAGTCTGAAAGCACCACCAGTATCAACATATACTTTGCAGTAAGTGCCGTCCAAGGGGATCTTGACAAATTTACATCTGTTTTGAGGAATACCAAGCTCATCCAAGTGTAGCTTCTTTCAAAATGTATCTAATGGGGGATGATCAACTGATTCAACTCAGAAAGTACATTAGAATAGGCCACAGAAGCAAATAAGAGGTCTAGAATCAATATTTCAGACACTCTTCAGCAAATTTAGGCAAAACTAGCTTAGATACTGAATACTCAAGACAACTTCAATGTAATTATCAAAACATAGATAATTGAAAGTATTCTCCATGTTTGAAGCTCTTGACTGTGTAGTCAGTTCTAAAATTAACCATCCTGGATACCATCTGAGCAACATAAATTGTAAGTGAGGGGAAAGAATCTTACTTTAGTTGTAACCATTTACACAGAGTACTGAAAGGCAATCAACATCTACAGAGTGCTGGAAAAAGAGTTTTGAATTCTCTAAAAGATGGTAATTTGCAAAATTAGGCCTAGACTTTGTTCCAACACACAAGTTGTTTTTTTTTTTTAATTCCAACTTATTTTTATATCAAAATGGTTGGGGGAAACAGCTTCAGGCATGGTGATCCATCAGCCCAGCTACTTCATATTTGCTGATTGAGTTTTTTTAGTGACAGGCTAAGATCTTCTGAAATTTACTTTGCTTTGCTTTTCGAGTTACTGGAATATATAATGTGTCAATCTTTTTGAAAACAGAAATGTAGATGCTAGGCATAATTGAAAGATGAAGAGGTTCTTATGGTAAACATAGCAAGCATATGTGCTTTCCTCTAGAGACCCTCCTAAACATAAGCTCACACATATGCTTTATAACAACTATAAAAAATATCTATGTTTCTGATCAGTCCTTATGGCTCATGATGAAAGGAATTCCCACTGACAGCATATTTCCTATTCTATGTTATCTGGGTTTGGCTTAGACAGGATTTTATCTCCAAATCATTTGGGTACAGGCAAGGAGCCACCAAGAGACGAGGTCATAGAAATAGAAATATTTCCTAAAGTTCCTATACTGCAGCATCTGCAGGGAAATCAGACTTTGGAACCAAGAACTGCAACCTGTGATGTTGCGGTGTGTTGCAATGTCCTGTTTTAAACTTCCGGTCCCTTCCCAGGTGTGCCTACACCTTCTCCCTTCCCCCTCGCCCCTCGCTGAGTGTGCCCTGTCAATCAGGCTAACAGGACATTGCAACACACCGCAACACTGTAAGTGTAGAGTAGCAGAGAAATGCCTATTTACATGTGTGCCCCTGTCATATGGAAAAAAAAGGTTTTGCAAAAGTTTATTATTGAATAATTCCCTGTGAAACTGAATAATTTGGAATGTCTACTCCCAAGAATAGTGGGTTCACAGCTATACTGGTTAAAAGAATTGTTGATGTAAGCAGGAAAGCATTCGCCCATCTCTTTCATTACTGAAAATAATTTTGCTCTTTTCTGAAAAATTGTAGGAAAAAATAATATTAAAGATTATGCTTGTAATTGTTTCAGACTTCAGCCTGCAGATGCAGTCCAGGAAGCTCAATGTAGCAGTACCCGTAGGCAGCTTCCCAGAGGTGCCCACTGGGAATACCTCAGGAAGCAGTAAAACCTCCAAGACAGATGAGAAGTGAGACAAGCCCCTACAAAACCCTCATATATAGTTTTATACAATGTCTTCAATTATTTATTCTTATAAAAGAAATTTTTAAAATGCAATCCCACCAAAAAAAAAAGCCAAAAAGCAATCTTTAAATTAAAAACTCGGGAATTTTAATTTACCAAAACAAATACAATTTTAAGGCGGAAAAGTTAACACTTTTTACTGTATGACATATTGCATTTTATTCAGCTACTTATTCTGGTTCTCAAATTAAGATTTATTTGGGGGAATATATTTTTTTGCTACTGGTATTCCTACTGGCCTGATAACTTTTTAGACTAAAGGTGTTATCATCCTTCTAAAGATTATAATTTTGTTTTCTTTCAAATATTTTATAATTTTTTCTGCACTTTGCTTGCAGGATTTCAGTTGAAAATTATCTAAAACAACCTTGGTAATTATTTTTCTAGTGATTATTATAAGCTTTAATGTCCTGTGGGAGAATGTCAAATTATATGTCTATAATTACTTTGACTCCCTCCAGTTTCTGTTCAATAAAAAATTAAGATCAATAGTTCTTGGCACACAATAGCCATGCAGAGCTCCTTGTCTCTGCAGGCAAGAAATTCCAGCCTATATAAATTATGAGTTCTCTTCCTCACAAAAGCTTGCATTAAGTTGTCTGTTGTTTGCCATTCATCCATTGTGTGAATCCTCTATCTCTAAAATTATATATTTATATCAGATGGACTGCAAAGATATTTGGGAATAGGAGAAAGCTATTCTTGGGAGCATGCTGAAGGAATATTGGAAATGTTCCATAAGCTTAATACATTCCAATGGCTACTCCTAGCCAAGGAGCTGACACTGTGTGTCCTCAGGCCCCTGTTGGGTGTGCAGCATGCAAAGCACACCAGAGCAGCACTTGAATTAAGGTAAACGTTACTGAAGCGTTTGAAATCATTAGAGGAACTGTGCTTTGTAGTGTGATGCCATCCATGTGAGAACACCTTTTGTACTGTTCTGGGTAGCTTCAGTGTGGCTTTGGGCTTTTTTGTGGTACACCCTGGTTGTGTGCTGGACTTGGGGAAATCAACTTGCTGCTCTTTTGCACCTGCTGAGGTGCAGCAAAACCCTCCACATTTATGATACAGTTTCATTGCCAAATTTCACCACTTATTGCTTATGGCAATGTCCAAAACAATGTGCTTGTATTACATCCAAAACAAATCCCTTTGCATAATTTTTTCTTACATCAGAAAAGAACTCTTCTCTACAAAAAATATTTTAAATGAAAATTTTAAAATTTAAAGCATTAGCAAAATAGCAACACAAGTATAACTAGGAGAGTAGTGAATCATTTAGTGCTGAATTATCAAGAATCACATCTTAGCCACATGATGACTTGCACTGCTGCTGGTACTTGTTTCCTGCTCCAAATCTCAATTAAAATTACAGAAAATACTTTCCTACAATTCCCATGTTAAGGAGCCACCACATTTCATTGAAGACAGTTGTATCATTCCTGAGGGGCTGGCATGCAGTGAGCACAGGCAGGAATGTGATCCCCAAAAGTTTATCAAAAGAGATATGTGCTCAAGTTAGAGTCAATTTTTTTTTCTTTTTGAGACAGCCACAAAGCATTTTTTGAGGATATTCATTGTGGTCCAAAGGTAAACAGA